TTTTATTTGTCTTTTGTAATTTATTAATTCTATTTTTTAATTCTACTCCTGTAACTTCTATTAGATCTGTTGGCAATATTCTAAATTTACCATTATTAACTAACTCTGGTTTATTCAATACCCATTCCTCACTAACAAGAACAATCTGTACAAACAACATCGCTAGACTCTATATTTTATAATTTGATAAATTTATTTACATAAAACAAATTTATTGCTATCTTAATGAATAGCTATAATTAAACTTTGAAAGTATGTTTATCATAATAACGAAAAGTTCTAACAATAACACACAGATATATTTTTATACAAAATAATATATTGTGATCTCTGACCTCTTAAACTGAATGAATTTTTTTTTTTTTTAATTAAATAAAATATTGATTAATTTTTAAGTATATTTTTCAGTGTAGAAAACCAAAATCTTGAATGAATGATGCCTGTCTCAGGTAAGCAATTACATTATAATTTTTTGCAATTATTTTTAAAACTTTTCAATTCTCTCAAACAATGTATTAAAAATGAAATATATTACTTTAAAAATAAAATAATTTCTCTTTAAAATTATAGATTTATTTAATCTAGGCAGAAATCAAACACAATATAAAATTATATAAATAGCTAAAAATTTAGCAAGAAGTTGAAATTTAAAAAATTTACATAATTTAAATTGTGTATATACTGAATATTTTCAATTAAAACACAGGCTTTTATTTAAAAACATTGGCATTGACAGTTTTAATGAGTCAATGCTTCTATAAGCTGCAAGAAATGAAATACATATTTCTACTTATTTATTAATAATTACTAATAAAATAGTTCCTCCTTCAGAAAGATGAATAACATTTACCATTTAAAGAATTTGAAGAATCAGTTTATTTTAAAAACTAGAAAGTTTGAAATACAATACTAGAATGAGGTTAAGAATTGAATCGTATTTTATTTAAGTAGTGCAGAAGAGAGTGAGTGCACAATTAATAGAGAGTACACAATTAATTTAATAATAGTATCAAATATTTATTAAATGATCCTCTTCATTTCTCTGACTTTCATTATTATTCAATAGTAAAAATTTTTTATATTAAATTAAATTATGAAAAAATGGTAATTATATTTATTATTTATATATCTAATTTAATTGCTTCTCATAATTAAGTTTATAAAAAATCATATATTGATGTTAAAAAATTTAGAGTCTAAAACTATAAAAATGTTGTTAAAATGTTGAGAATATTTATATTTATTTTAAAAATGATGTCTTTATTGTATTTGTTGTTATTATTTTTGAATAGATGAGACTAAGAATGATATGATTGATTATAGACAAAAATATAGAAATTTGAAGAGAAAGTTCAAATTATTAATATATGTAAGTAATACACTTTAAAATATCATTATGTATTTATTTTTTATTTATGAATATTAATAGTTAATAATAATAAATCTAATGTATAAATAATAATATATACTATAACTTAAAATTTTTTTATAATAAATATTAGACATTACAACAATATTTTCACTTATCTGCATAGAAACTATGTTAAGACATTTTTCTAAATTTAATTGAGAAATTCTGTAAATTATGGGAAAATATTTACCATTGTATTTAAAAAATTAAATTATAATTTTAGTCATTTTATATATAGCAAGTATTAAAACATCTATTATCTGGGATGAAAAAAATAAAATAATCTGTGATTTTTTTTTAATTTAGAAAGAAGTTTTTAAAATTTCATTGTTTTTTCCTAGAGACAAATTACATAAGCTTTAGATATGTAAAATTTATCATTAATGATAAAAAAAAATTTTGTAGGAAAATGAATGTTTTCAAGATGAATTAAAAAAAGCTCAAAGAAAACTTCTTAAAGTTTCTAGAGATAAAAGGTAAATTTTTTATAACTTTATTGATATATAATTCTTAAACTTAAAGCATAAATAAATATTTTTAAATGGTGAATACAGTATTAATTTTTAATGGTTTAATTATATTTTATGTGTACAAGACAGATTTATTAGTGCCTTAACCATTTTAAAAGTAGATAGAAAAAAATGAATTTGACTGTGTTTGAAATCAATATATAAATATTAAACTGCAGTATGTCATGGAAGAGAAATCATGAATTGTTTACCCATTTCTCCAGTCATTTTTAATTTCTTCAATACTTTCTTATTCTTCACAATTTCTGTTCTACACATTTTGTTACAGAAATGAAAACACCCAATCTTTACTTATTTGGGGTGTTGAATACAAAATTGACATTAAAAAAAGTTTGATTGGCTCTCATTTTGGTATAACGTTTTCAAATATAAATATTCAAGTTATCAATCTGAGTTTGATTATACATGACAACATTGCTGAGGTTCTAGCAATTTCACATTCCATTATATAATGATTGTTTGTTTCTCTATATTGCTTCCCATTAGAGAGAGATATACAAAGGTAAATATATATGGACCAGTTATGAATCCCATACTTATTCCTATTTCTTGTGTGTAAAAATTATCATTCATAAAAAATAATTACTTCTGTAAGTTCTATTATGTGATCTGGCACGTCTAAACTTTTTAATTTGTTTTCAGTCATTTCCCATGTTATGGACAGATATATCTCAGTTACATCTGAACTAGCCATTCAGCTGTGGTGTTCATTTATTTGTATACTTTTTACTTCATTTATAAAGTTGTCTGCATTTTTAATGGAAAATTTAGAATTTTTATATATTCAAAATATATATATATATTTCTAAATTATACAAAACAGAGTATATAAAGTCAATAATTGCTCCAGGATTGTGTTTTTAGTTGCATGTTTAATTTTGGTGTTCCACTACTCCCAATATTTAGTATAAATTGCTTTGTTTCTTTTTTCTATTTTATTTGTCTTTTGTAATTTATTAATTCTATTTTTTAATTCTACTCCTGTAACTTCTATTAGATCTGTTGGCAATATTCTAAATTTACCATTATTAACTAACTCTGGTTTATTCAATACCCATTCCTCACTAACAAGAACAATCTGTACAAACAACATCGCTAGACTCTATATTTTATAATTTGATAAATTTATTTACATAAAACAAATTTATTGCTATCTTAATGAATAGCTATAATTAAACTTTGAAAGTATGTTTATCATAATAACGAAAAGTTCTAACAATAACACACAGATATATTTTTATACAAAATAATATATTGTGATCTCTGACCTCTTAAACTGAATGAATTTTTTTTTTTTTTAATTAAATAAAATATTGATTAATTTTTAAGTATATTTTTCAGTGTAGAAAACCAAAATCTTGAATGAATGATGCCTGTCTCAGGTAAGCAATTACATTATAATTTTTTGCAATTATTTTTAAAACTTTTCAATTCTCTCAAACAATGTATTAAAAATGAAATATATTACTTTAAAAATAAAATAATTTCTCTTTAAAATTATAGATTTATTTAATCTAGGCAGAAATCAAACACAATATAAAATTATATAAATAGCTAAAAATTTAGCAAGAAGTTGAAATTTAAAAAATTTACATAATTTAAATTGTGTATATACTGAATATTTTCAATTAAAACACAGGCTTTTATTTAAAAACATTGGCATTGACAGTTTTAATGAGTCAATGCTTCTATAAGCTGCAAGAAATGAAATACATATTTCTACTTATTTATTAATAATTACTAATAAAATAGTTCCTCCTTCAGAAAGATGAATAACATTTACCATTTAAAGAATTTGAAGAATCAGTTTATTTTAAAAACTAGAAAGTTTGAAATACAATACTAGAATGAGGTTAAGAATTGAATCGTATTTTATTTAAGTAGTGCAGAAGAGAGTGAGTGCACAATTAATAGAGAGTACACAATTAATTTAATAATAGTATCAAATATTTATTAAATGATCCTCTTCATTTCTCTGACTTTCATTATTATTCAATAGTAAAAATTTTTTATATTAAATTAAATTATGAAAAAATGGTAATTATATTTATTATTTATATATCTAATTTAATTGCTTCTCATAATTAAGTTTATAAAAAATCATATATTGATGTTAAAAAATTTAGAGTCTAAAACTATAAAAATGTTGTTAAAATGTTGAGAATATTTATATTTATTTTAAAAATGATGTCTTTATTGTATTTGTTGTTATTATTTTTGAATAGATGAGACTAAGAATGATATGATTGATTATAGACAAAAATATAGAAATTTGAAGAGAAAGTTCAAATTATTAATATATGTAAGTAATACACTTTAAAATATCATTATGTATTTATTTTTTATTTATGAATATTAATAGTTAATAATAATAAATCTAATGTATAAATAATAATATATACTATAACTTAAAATTTTTTTATAATAAATATTAGACATTACAACAATATTTTCACTTATCTGCATAGAAACTATGTTAAGACATTTTTCTAAATTTAATTGAGAAATTCTGTAAATTATGGGAAAATATTTACCATTGTATTTAAAAAATTAAATTATAATTTTAGTCATTTTATATATAGCAAGTATTAAAACATCTATTATCTGGGATGAAAAAAATAAAATAATCTGTGATTTTTTTTTAATTTAGAAAGAAGTTTTTAAAATTTCATTGTTTTTTCCTAGAGACAAATTACATAAGCTTTAGATATGTAAAATTTATCATTAATGATAAAAAAAAATTTTGTAGGAAAATGAATGTTTTCAAGATGAATTAAAAAAAGCTCAAAGAAAACTTCTTAAAGTTTCTAGAGATAAAAGGTAAATTTTTTATAACTTTATTGATATATAATTCTTAAACTTAAAGCATAAATAAATATTTTTAAATGGTGAATACAGTATTAATTTTTAATGGTTTAATTATATTTTATGTGTACAAGACAGATTTATTAGTGCCTTAACCATTTTAAAAGTAGATAGAAAAAAATGAATTTGACTGTGTTTGAAATCAATATATAAATATTAAACTGCAGTATGTCATGGAAGAGAAATCATGAATTGTTTACCCATTTCTCCAGTCATTTTTAATTTCTTCAATACTTTCTTATTCTTCACAATTTCTGTTCTACACATTTTGTTACAGAAATGAAAACACCCAATCTTTACTTATTTGGGGTGTTGAATACAAAATTGACATTAAAAAAAGTTTGATTGGCTCTCATTTTGGTATAACGTTTTCAAATATAAATATTCAAGTTATCAATCTGAGTTTGATTATACATGACAACATTGCTGAGGTTCTAGCAATTTCACATTCCATTATATAATGATTGTTTGTTTCTCTATATTGCTTCCCATTAGAGAGAGATATACAAAGGTAAATATATATGGACCAGTTATGAATCCCATACTTATTCCTATTTCTTGTGTGTAAAAATTATCATTCATAAAAAATAATTACTTCTGTAAGTTCTATTATGTGATCTGGCACGTCTAAACTTTTTAATTTGTTTTCAGTCATTTCCCATGTTATGGACAGATATATCTCAGTTACATCTGAACTAGCCATTCAGCTGTGGTGTTCATTTATTTGTATACTTTTTACTTCATTTATAAAGTTGTCTGCATTTTTAATGGAAAATTTAGAATTTTTATATATTCAAAATATATATATATATATTTCTAAATTATACAAAACAGAGTATATAAAGTCAATAATTGCTCCAGGATTGTGTTTTTAGTTGCATGTTTAATTTTGGTGTTCCACTACTCCCAATATTTAGTATAAATTGCTTTGTTTCTTTTTTCTATTTTATTTGTCTTTTGTAATTTATTAATTCTATTTTTTAATTCTACTCCTGTAACTTCTATTAGATCTGTTGGCAATATTCTAAATTTACCATTATTAACTAACTCTGGTTTATTCAATACCCATTCCTCACTAACAAGAACAATCTGTACAAACAACATCGCTAGACTCGATACATAATATAGCTAGACACTAACCAAATGCCGAAATTCTGTCGGGTTAGTTTAAGGCTAATTACTAAATGAATTACATAACCAATTTGGCTCTAGAGGTAAGCGTTAGGAGCCATCTCGTATTAACATTAATAATTATAAATAAATAAATTAATTTAAATAATTTAGAACCACTGGGAGAAAAAATTGGCCCAGAGCAGAACTCTAATCCACAACTCCTGCTTACTGTGCAGATGCGTTGCCAGTTACACTGTCTGGACCTCCAGTCCAATCTCCTCTTCCAGCATATATAAGATGTTATAACCATCAATGTTTTTTTTCTCCCAGTGGTTCTAAATTATTTAAATTAATTTATTTATAATTATTAATATTAATACGAGATGGCACCTAACATTTACCTCTAGAGCCAAATTGGTTATGTAATTCATTTAGTAATTAGCCTTAAACTAGCCCGATAGAATTTCGGCATTTGGTTGGTGTCTGGAACAATCTGTTTAAATTTATCAGCTTTTATGATTTTTAAATTATAATTTTTTAGGAAATTATTTAATAGCTTAATTTTATTATTATATCTTAGGTAATATTTTTCTCTAATTTTTTTTTTTTTTTCTTTTATTTTTGAAGTGTAATGTTTTATTATATTACTGATTTTCATTTTAAAATAATCTTTATCTATATTTTTAAAATAATCTTTATCTATCATTTTAAAATAATTCTTTATCTAATAACTAATTTTGGTATTATGTCTATTATGTCCCATTGGCTAAGCCCATTGCAATCTATTCCTTCATACAGGATTTCTTTGATATCATTAGGTATTTCTATATTTATCTTATTAACTATTAATTGATTTTTCCATTTTTTGATTTCTTTTATTGTTGGATATCCTAATTTTTTGTTTAATTTACTTTGCTTATTACATTTATATTTTTCTATTTTCTTTTTCCATATTTCTCCTACAGCATTATCTTGTTTCATAAGTAATCATTTTAAGTTTCTTTTTATTCTTCTAATTTTTATATATTTAAATTTAATTGCTGCCTTTACTTTATAGTGGTTTATTTTTTATTTTTCTCTGTATGGTATTATTTTTGTTATAGACTTTGGTAATGATAACATTGTTAGTGTTTCCTTCTTTTTTAAATGTATTTTAAAGTAATAGGCTAATCAAAAATGTTTAGACCTTTCTTTGATGGTGGTGTATGATGGCAAAGCTTCCCCATACACATGATCTTAAGTGTTGCTTCATTCCTGTGGATACTTGTTCTTCTTTTGTAAGAAACTTGATTTCCCAGTTTTTTAATTTAAAATTTGCTTCCATATAGTATACAGACGTTTACTATATAAATCTAGTGTCTGTAATACTAAAAGGTGCTTACCTGTTAGTACTACAGACACTAGATTTGCATCAAATATTAATAAGACATTAATCTTTTGTATACTTGTCTTGACATGTTCTTCAGTAATACACAGTAGATTAGGTCAGAAACTTATGGTGCTTCCTATGTAAGTCAAAATTTGTAGAACAGTGTAATGCTTGCTCTATTTGTTTAAGTTAAAGTAAAATCCAAGTAAGATCATCTTCGATACCTTCACAGCCATCAAAGAAGTGCTTTAGCCAATCAAATAACTAGCTTTTCTTCATTGCCATTTCTAATAAAATTTCTCTGTGTCAGTGTTATATGAGAAAGAATATAATAGCTTAGTAGAGGCTAACAACAGGGTTATAACTATACAAGGGAGACTAGCAGAGAAACTAAACTCCCAATATAAGTCAGTGTTATCAGTTTCACATTAGAAATTGGAGTATTCATCATTCTGCTTTCCTCATTAATTGATGAATAAATTGCTTTTAGCTGAAAATGATTAATTACATTACTTAATTTTTCTTTTTTTTTTCTTTTTTTTTAGATTTTGAATTTTGCAAATCAGTAGATTCAGATCTCTAGGCTGAAATCAGTTTAATGTACCAATATGTATCAATAGCTTCTCATTCAATTAGCTCTTAAATTAAAATGTGTCACTTAAATATAAGTTTAAATTCAAATAAATATCTGAATATCTGGGGATATTACTCTTTTTGCCTGGAAACAGTAGAATATTAATTTCTTTTCTCTATTGGAAAATTATTTAGACAAATTTCTGTTACAGTTTTCTACTTGATCGTCTTCTTCAATATGAAACAGTTGAAACATCTTCAAGTGATTCAGATGCAACAGTATCAAGTGATAGTGAAGTTGAAAGAAAAGGAGAGATAACGGCTGTCAGAAAGTATGATATGATGCTTATTAATTTAATAATTTTTCTTTTCTATTAAATGTTTTTAGTTATATATTTTCTGTTTTCTATAATTTTTAAATAAAATAAGTTTGAATTTAGAAAATTTACAAAAAAAATCTCAATGGACAAACTTTAAAAGTTTCCTTATTCTTAGTTCAGGGATGCACAACCTTTTGTGGAGAAGGGCCAAATTAGAATTAAGTTTACTGACTGGGGGCTGGACCTCCAAGCGATTAATGTGATGGCTGAGATTGGATGCTGGCGGAATCCAATCTCAGCCATCACATTAATCACTTGGAGTCTGGTGTAATGCTTGATGTCTGGCTTGATGTCTGGTGTAATGGCAGATGTTGAAACAACCAGCAGATTTTCCAAATTCTCGTTGATTAACCTGTTCTGTGTTTTGCACTTGTTTAAATTCATAAGTGAAAACTTGCAAGCTTGTTTGGCAGTGCTTGCAAGCTTGTTTGGCAGTACCTATGTATGCCTGTTCGCATACATAGGTACTGCCAAACATGCTTGCACAAAATCGAGCATTGTCTTTCAGTTTTGGAAATGATGTATCTGGCTGTTCTTTGTAGAATGTGAGGAGATTAGAATGTTTGAACTGTGATTTCAATTCATCACTGCACTGGATGTCTATCAACTCAAGTTAGACATCTGGAGGGGCATCTTCCACTTTCACATCAAATGGAGTTGAAAAAAGTTACAGGTAAATCTTGTATTTCTGGAATTCACCAAACCTCTCATTGAATGATGTAAGGAGGGTGTTAACTTGGTCAGAGTAATCCATCTTCATATGTGGGTATTTCTCTTTCATGGCTCTATTCCAACTACAGTATTAATTTTCTTGGTCCAACTTAATAATAATAATAAATTTGATGCGAAAAAATTTTTTTTCTATTCTTAGTCTATGGAGAGATATTGTTGTAAATTATTGGTTGTTATAGCTTTTTGTACATTCCTTTTTGAACTCTGGTTAGTTTTTTCTAGTTTGAATGACATTAGATTGACGAATAAGCGTCTTTTCAGAAAAGCTTGATTCAAATTTGACTATACCAATCAGAATCTAGAATGTAAATGCTAAAAAATCGTTATTTTCATGGTTTTTCAGCGCTATTTTCACTTATTTTTGTTATTTGATGCTATTTAGACCAGGGGTCGCCAAACTTTTTTAACTGTCGACCCCCAATCATTTTCCAAAGCCTCCCATTGACCCCCATCGTAAAATTTTATTACAAGTATATATGTATGAGCGAAAAAAAAACGTTGTGGGTTGTGGTCTCTGTCTAAGCAAAAAAAAAAGTTTGTGACCCCTTAGCCACATCGACCCCCCCAATGATGTTGCATCGACCCCTGGGGGTCCATATCGGCCACTTTGGCAACCCCTGATTTAGACGAATAAGCAAGTTTTTCGAAGCATAAAATTGAAGATTTCCCGCCAAAATAGAAACTTCCTGATTACATCGGAAATGACGTTCTAACATCATTTTATTTTATTTGATTATTCAAAAAATCTTTATAATACTATGTATTAGACTTAAAATATTCGATATCTAAACCAGAAAGTGTTAGCTAGAAATAGACTTATTAGAACAACCCCCCATTTCTCACTTCAGGGAAAGTTATAAAACAGTTGGGTGCTAACGACTTTGTGAAAGGGAAAAGTTCTACACTTAGAAACTTTGAAAGAAGGGATTTGGCCTGTACCGTCCGCGGGCCGCATAAACATTGATAAGGGGCCGTATGTGGCCCGCAGGCCACAGGTTGTGCACCTCTGCTTAGTTCCTTAAAAAAAACATTTTATACAATAAATTTTTGAATAATATTGTTGAATAATTTGTATACTTTTAAAATGGCAATAATACTTATTATTGCCATTTTAAAAGTATACAAATATTGATCTCTTTAGATCAATCAATATTTGTTAACCTATTGATTATTTAACCAATAGTTTTCTTTAATTAGTTCATCCAATTATTATAATTTAAATATGCTTTTAAGAAAATTATACAAAAGTATTAAACTGTTTTGAATAGTAATGTTACTATTCAAAACAGTTTAATATTTCTGTAATTTAGTAAAAATTATGTTAAAATTTTCTACAAAAATTAATAACATTCATATTTACAAATGAGTGCAATAATTAAACAGGAATTAGAATAATTAATGAGTATTTTTATTACTTGCTTGATTTTGATTAGTTTAAAGAATTTGAAATTATAATTGAAATTGTTCTAATGTTATATTATAAATAATAAAAAAATAAACAACACATAACACCAGGTAAAATAACGTATCTTGTGAACCTATGACCAGTGTGTGACGAAAAAACAAGAGAGAGTTCACCTCTAATGTTTTCGAACTGCTCTGGGTTATTCTTCAGGTGTTAAACAGAATTTCTGATGGAACATAGATGATTTGGATTACAAAAATTTGAAGAATTATGTGAATCCGTTACACAAGAGATGTTTGTCATGCCACACATGTGTATTCATAAGGCTGGCAGTTCTTGACATTTAAAGATTGGTGTCCATCAGTGCCTGTCAGGCTATTGACAAAATCAACTCCTCTTTATAATTGATGCACATGGCATTGAGGCTCGATTTATATATGTGAATGGCCTGTAACCATCTTAGGTGTTCTGTGCAAGGCAAAGTGTGGATGAGCTTTGCCTGGTCAAAGGCTGCCATGATATCCTAATGGATTCAAATGATTCTTCAAATTTTTGTAATCCAAATCATTTATATTTTATCAGAAATTCCATTTAACACCTGAAGAAGAACTCAGAGCAGTTTGGAAAATGTTAGTGGTGAACTCTCTCTTTTGTTTTTTTCACAGGGTATGTTATTAAAATAAAAAAAAATGAAACAAACTTAAATTTTTACAGTAATTATGAATTTTATATTTAAATATCTTTCCTCTACATATATAAATAATAACATAACAGTTTTTTACAAATTGAATAAACGTTTGTAAGAGATTAATTACTCTGAATTAAATAATGATTATATTAATACAGGTAGCCCTCAGTTTACGCCAGCTCAATTTATACTGATTCACAATAATGCCACTACGCAATTTGCCGTTTCGCGGTGTAATTCCCTGAATTTCCCTATGCCAGACTGATTTTCATTTCAGTGTTGATGTGTTCATTGAGCCGTGACATTGTACATTCATTAAAACAAAGATTTTTATTGAATATATTTAGTTTTTCTGTTTAATATTATTGGGTATGTATACATTTGCATTAAATTAATATTAAAACACTAAATGTTTAGGTACCCACGAGTCAAGTTATCAAACTTAATAGTCCAATAAATGGCATCCAAATCCATAGCGCCAATGAATGTATCCCATATCAGTTCGTTCAGGAAAACACCTTACGATGCAGTAGCACTTCCGGTGATCACAAACTATCGTTAGTGAGACAAATTTACTTCTTGTTGGCCAGACAATACTTTTTTTTAGCCAGATGATATCTATCTCTCCTTAGCCACCTTGAATTTTCCCGCTCAAACTGACCTTATACATGCGCTACGGCAACCGGTGGTCAACCAATCAGAGTCTTCGCTCGTCCATAGCTCTACTTTGGATTAACGTATCCTTTCAACTATGGAAAGTTTGATGGATGAACTTTGTGAGTTAGACAATGATTGGGAGCAAAGTACAAATGTAAAAAGAAGCATCATCACATCTATTCAACCATATTCCGAAATTCTCAATGAAAGAAAACAAAAAAATGTAAACGATTAAAGATGGATACTTTTTTCCGAAAAATGTAAGAGATCCGAAATTAAAAATTTTCTAATAAAAACATTTCACTTTATTTTATGATAAAATACATTTTAAAAATTAAAAATTTATATGTATTTTGTATTATATTGTATTAATAAACAAAATTATTTGCTTATTTTTCACTTATGTAGAACCTAACCCTATACACTACTGTAAATGTGAGTTCGTTTTACACCAATTCGATTTGCACCGGCTTTTGTAGGAATGGAACTACGGCGTAAACTGAGGGCTACCTGTATACTCAGATCCAACAGAAATTATGAGATCAACTCTATAACTCAGGAACTGATAATAGAAGGAGAAAAATAAACAGACTATATTTAAACTTAAACTGTTCTCTCAGAGCATAAGTTTTATTCTGTTTTCTTTACTCTGTAGTAGTAATGAGTTCTTTAGCTTGGACACATGCTCAATAAGAAAAAGTCTGATTTGGAAAGTGAGTAATGAGTTAATATCAAATTTCTCATCAATCTTAAGAAATCTGCAACAGAAACTTTTCAATTATAAACTGAGACTTACAATAAAGGTTGTCTTGTTCATGTGGTTTTGAATTACAAAATGATTTTCAGAAGGCAAGAAGAGTATGAAAAATGACCACTTAGGTCATTGCTTTCTAAACCTTCTGAAAGCTGGTTGTACACTATTAAATAACACCAACAAAACCTACAAAATATACCAGCAAGCATAATTTAATATAAAGATGCTATAAGCGTTTTCGATCTGAACAGGATCTGCTTCGGGTCTAAAATGTTCAATAGAATGAGAATCCAAAAGCTGTATCTTTGGCATTCTATTTCTATCGAACATTTTAGACCTGGAGCAGATCCTGTTCAGATTGAAAACATTTGTCATAGCATCTTTATATTAAATTATGTTTGCTGGTATATTTTAAAGATTTTGTTTGCTGGTTATTCATTGCTTTCTTTGAGATTTTGCAACGGCAGAGTGGTTTTCAATGACCAGATTGTCAATTAATGCTATTATATTGAAATTTTGACTCATTTTGCAAAGGAAACAGCTAGGATTGTAGAAAACATCAAAATAATGCACCATCCCTTAATGCTTTGTCTGTAAAGTAGTTTTTATTCAATAAAAATTTATTGCACCTAATTTCCTTCCCAATTCATCTATATCTTACTCTTTGTGACTCTCTTTTCTCAAAGTTTAAGTCAAATTAACTTCATTTACACAGT